TCTTAAGAGAAAATAACATCGCTATAGGACCTAAACTAGTTAGAAATAGGTTAAAATAGTAGTATAGATAGTTGCCCGTTTCAAAATTCAATCTGAGATCAGGAGAGAGGCTGGTTAGTCGTTAGAATACAATGTCGAGAAGAATGGATTGAAAACCAGGACACCGGCCAAATTTTTACTAAGGAAGAGGAACTTTTTGCCAACGAAGCTTCCTCAAACCTAAGGATAACTGTTAATATCCTTTCAAGCCCCAGCGGACCGGGGGCTACGTTTTATTCAGCATTACTGGCCAGTTTTACTATTGAAACGTGGAATGTGGTTGTCCTGCCGGGAGATTAATGGCGGAAGGAACATCGTGGGCCCGTCAACTTCGAGGTATCGTTTTAAATAAAGGCTCTTTTAAAAGGAATAAATTTGGGCCGTGTACTATTAGGAAACAGAAAATTTTAAAAAACCTTTTTGGGATTTCTCTTGTATGACCCACTGGCGGTGTCCGAGTTGTTATCTCGGAATATTTTGCAAAAATTTTTTGCTAGTTTAGCTGCAATTAGGGGGCGGGTTCCCGGGGAAAAAATCCCAAAAAACCTCCCTTAAAAACCCTTTTTTTTTTTTGTTTCCTTTTTCCCCTTTAGGGTTTTTTTCCACGTATGGCTCTTCATTCTCAACAATATGGGGGGCCTACAGGGGAATTTTCCCCCTTTTCCTAGGGTTTCATTTTGCTTTCAAACTGTATTTCGCAGGGTCACTTATTTGCACAGAACTGCAAAAAATTTGGCCTCAATGGTTTTAAAGGGTTTCAGCGGTAAATCGAAACCCAAAAATTTCCTAGTCATTGTGATAGTCTACAACCCCCTAAAGGAACAAGTCCCAAACAATTCCAGGCAGCTTTTGAAAATTTGACCACTTTTCTGGTAAAACCTTCCAGTTTTCCGGGCCCCCAAAAACTTGCCCCTGGGGGATTTAATTTAGGCACCTAAAAGGGAAAGGAATTTTTAGCAAATAAGTTTTTTGCAGGAAAAACACCAGGGGGCGGGGCCTGGGACGGAACTCACAAAACACACAGCTTTTAAATCTCTGAAAACAAAATTAAAACTTAAACTAGCAAATAATAGGGGCCTACTAGATTGAAAAATACACTAGCCCTCATCTTCACTAACAAGATGATCTGATACGTAATGTAAACCATATAAAAACAATATACTCAGATCACAACTTAATAAAGGTTTCAGACATGTATGGGGAAGCCCCAGACCGAAAAAAGGGGATCAGTCAGGGGGGACCCTTCCCCAAAATTCAGCTTCAATAACAAAGAACATAAAGGGGGAAACCAAGTAAACCAAGTCCTAAATGATTTAAGCTGGGCAGTAGACTAAGCAACACAGACCCCAACTTTGCCCGAAAAAAGATTAACTCTGTGGGGCCGATGTATGCACAATTAAAATTCCTTTTTTAAAAAAAAGGAGGGGTAGATGTAAAAAAAGGAAAAAGACAGGGCCCCCTTTACAGGCGTTTGGAAAAAAAATAACAGAGCGGCTAAAAGAGGCCAAAATATCTGCAATGCGTAAAAAAGACTGGTCAAGAAAAGCAAGCAATTTGAACCTTGCTAAGGAATCTTTTAGGAGGGCAGGAATTTTGCGGGATGAAACCCATTGCCATAAAAAGAAAAACGAAAGAAAACCCCAAAATATTTTTTTTCTTTTTCCAAATCAAAGTCCCAGAATAAATCCCCTAAATTGGGGGCCCCTACTTAAACAAAATGGGTTCCTACACGATGACAAACAAGGGAAAAGAGTGAGCTAACCCCAAATCCCTTTTGACTCAGTTTTTTTGCAAAAAAGGCCCCCTAAACCCGCTGAGATCGAAGATCTAAATGAATTTTTTAGGGGGCCCCAGAAATTTTTTTAACAAAACCCAAACCCGATGTTATTTCCCGACAAACCAAAAGACCCTTTGAACAAAGGGGAAAAATGACATGCCCCGCACTCCCGCCCCCGGGGCCCCCGACTCGTGGAAAATCCCTGTTCATTAAGAACTGCAAGAAGGGCCCTTTTCACTGCTTTTTAAAAACCTATGGAGGGGGGGCAGGACAACCCCGGGGCGTCCCACAGTTGCTTTAAAAAACCCCAGACATTTGCCCCACTCCACAAAAGGGGGGGGGAAAATAAAGCAATAGCAAAGAACTAAAAGACCGATAGCGTTTTAAAATCCCATAAACATAAAAAATTTTTTAAAGGGTCCAAAAAGGGAAGATTTGCCACCCACGTAATACCCTTTTAATTACACAACCCAGGGCAACATGGGTTTAGAGGAGGGCGCTCCTGTCTGCCCCCAATACTGGGCCACTACGACAAGGTCCCAAATGCCCCTAGGGAAAACAAAAAAAAAAGCAGATGTTAAAATTTTCACAGACTTTGCAAAAGCCTTTTGACCCCAAGTGTGACCAAAGGCGTAATTTTCCGGGACAAAATGCTGCTAAAGGGAAAAAACAGGAAAAAATTGGTAGGGGGGTCCCTTTTAAATTCCTCACAAATAGAACAGAAGAGTTGTAAATAAACAGAGGGCAAATCGAGGCAGCTTCGATGGGAAAAACTCTGTTCCGCAAAGGGACAGTACTAGCCCCATCTTGTTTTTTCCCCCCCATTTTGACAAGGGCAAGGAAAGGTTTAAACCCCAGCACCTGTCTTCCTTTGCAGTTTACACCCCAATTTTGCATGACAGGGGCCCTTCCCTTGCAGGGCACTTTCAAGGCTCCCGGCGGGCAACAACCAAATCTTTCAATGGGGGTTTAAGAAAAAACCCAAAAGAAGTTTAAAGATGAGAAAAATTTCCCAAATTTCTCCGATAAAGGGAAACATGAGGAAATTAAAACTTCAGAGTAAAAAAACAAATTCCAAACCCCCACAATTGAGCGAAAAAAATAACGTCAAAAAACCTGGGGGCGATCTGTCAGAGGATCTCACCTTCAAGGGCCCCTAACAATTTTATCAATCGCATCTGCTAGAAAATGAGAGGATGGTTTAAAAGGGGAAACCCTTCCCAAAAATAGGGATTTCCAAAACCCCTGACACTCTTGAGGGCGCTTGGTTTTTAAACTAGGCTGGGGGGTATTGCGCAAAACAAACCAAACACCCCTTTCCCGGGCAGGTGAAAAAGGTGACCTAGGGAAAAAGACAGAAACCTTTACCCGGGGCCCCATAACCCGAGATAAAACCCCCAGTTACTGGGAAACGCTTAAAGTTCCCCGAACCCCCAACTAGGTGGTTTCCACACAAAACCCCCTCTCACTCTACTCTCCCCCTCCCCCACCCCACACACCCCAACACAAAACCCACAACAAACACAAAACACAAAACCCCCCACACACCCACACAAAACACCCACCAAAAACAAAACCACACACAAATCAAACCCAAATCATACCTAAAACCCCAAAACCCCACCACCACCAAAGTACTCATAAACAACAGGCCTAGTGTTTTAATCGACAAATTTGGGCCCAAAGGGCAAAAAGGGAACTAAAACCGGGGCCCAGTGGCCCAATCGGGAAAGTGCCTAGGACAAAAAGGGGAACTAAAATAACCTGTACTCCCTGGAAGAAAGGGAGGGGAAAATACATGCTTATATACATCTGGGAAAAACCCAGAGGGAATAAAAAAACCCAAAAATTTTCAAAAAAATCATCTCTTTCCCAAAG